GAGGGTCGCAGGTGGGTTTCCAGGTGCCACCAAGCCACGGTGACTCATGGGCCACCAACCTGTAGGTCAAGAACTTCCATCCAGGTGTCCCATCCCCACCAGGGTGGGGACCCCCAGTGTCCCCCACCCCATGGTTCCTCACCTCCGGTGGGCCGTGGCCTCCTGGTTGGCTCGGCGCTGGCAGAGGAGGAGTAGGATGACCAAGAAGGTCAACCAGAGCAAGGAACCGGTGGCCGCGATGACAGCAGGCTGCCGCAGGACCCGGGCCACGCCGCTGCTCCCCGCTGTCACCTCTGCAAGAGTCCCACCAGTGTCACCCCAGTGCCACCACTGATGTCCCCTGGACGCTGCCTGGTGTCCTGTCTCCTACCCAGGAGGTGGCAGGTGATGTTGCTGGGGACACCCAGCCCTGCGCTGTTGAAAGCCGCCACTTGGACGCAGAATTCGGTCCCAGGGTTTGGGAGGTGGGTTTCCAGGTGGTGGGTCCTTCCATCTACTGTCCTGTTGGTGGGGTGCTGCCAGCCCTCACCCATTGACCAGACCTGGAAACCACCAAGAGGGTGGAGCCTCTTAGATGAATCCTTTTGATGGACCCCCATTGATGGATCCCAACAGGATTGACCCCATTGATGGATCCCAACAAGATTGACTTCATTGGACAGGTCTCCTTAGATGAATCCCCTTGATGGATCCCCACTGATGGATCCCAACAGGTTTGACCCCCTTGATGGATCCCCATTGATGGATCCCAACAGGACTGATCCCCTTGATGGACCCCCCATTGATGGATCTCAACAAGATTGACCCCCTTGGACTGGTCCCCTTAGGTGAATCCCCTTGATGGACCACCATTGATGGATCCCAACAGGATTGACCCCCTTAATGGACCCCCATTGACAGATTCACCTTGGATGCTCCCTTTTGCATGGACCCCCTTGGATGAACACCTCTTGGATGGACCCCCCCCTTAGATGAGTCCCCTTGATGGACCCCCATTGGTGGATCGCTCTTGGGCAGACCTCTTGGATGACCCTCTGAGATGAATCCCCTTGGATGGACTTCCTTGATGGATACCTTGGATGGATTCCCCACTTTGATGGATCTCCTGGGATAACCCTTCACCTTGGTTGCCCCCCTTGGATGGATGAACAACCTTGTTGAGATCCTTCTTGGATGATTCCCTTTGGACAGACCCCTTGGATGGACCTTTCTTGGCCAGAAGCTCCTCAACCCCCTCCTACCCCATCACCCCAAACCTTGTAGCCCTGAAGGATGCCATTGTGGGCCTCAGGAGGAGGTGGCTCCCAACTGACAACCACGGTGCCGTTCCCCTTCTCAACATGGCCCACGGTGACACGTTGAGGTGCTGCGCTTGGTGCTGCTGAGACAACCATGTTGAGACCCCTTGGACCTCCCACCACCACCCCATCCTCCATACGAACATCTCTGGAGGCATCTCACTCCCAACAGACCTTCTTCTGGTATCCAGAGGTGTCTACTGTTGCTGTCCAAGCCCTGGGTTCCTCCAACGTAGGGTCGGACCTTGAACTCGTAGGTGTAGCCCCTGTGTAGCATGGAGATGGTGGTGCTGAGGTCCTTGCCCGCGTCATGTTGGACCCAGGAGGTGCAGGTGGGGAGAAGACAACGGTAGAGCACCATGTAACCATCCGGCACCAGTGCTGGTGTCAACATCTGGAGAAGATTGGAAGGCTTGTGAGACATGGTGGGACTCAGATGGGACGTGGGGGATGGAGCTCCAGCCTCATCCCTCGTTGTCCCATCCCACCCCTTCAATGAGGACATCTTGGCACCACACCAACCCTCCAGCGGAGCCGGACGGCAGCAGTGGGCAGTGCGGTGCCGTTGTCCAGGTGTAACTTGATGGCCAGAAGGTCCCATGGTCCAGATTCTCTCCGGCCTGTCGGCAGCCGCTCTGTGGGGCAGAGGGAAGGTCATGGCAGGAGCAAGGTCCCTCAGCACCCACTGAGGTACCCACCACCTGGAGACCCTGATGTGTCTCTCCCTGGATGGACCTACTCGAATGGACCCATTGGATGGACCCCCTTGGACAGACACCCTTTGATGGACTCTTCTTGGATGGATCTCCTTAGACAACACCCTTGGATGGACCCTTCTTGGATGGAGCCCTCTTGGATGGACCCCCTTGGACAGACACCTCTACATGGACATCTCTTGGATGGATCCCCCTTGGATGGACCCACTTGGACAACACCCCTAGATGGACACCATGGACACCTCTTGGTTGGAGCCCCTTGGACAACACTCCTAGATGGGCTACTCTTGGATGGACCCCCTTGGACAGACACCCTTTGATGGACACTTCTCAGATGGATCCCTCTTGGATGGACCTCCTTTGATGGACCACCCATGGTAGACTCTTATTCTTAGATGGACCTTTTGGATGGATGCATCTTGTTCAATCCCCCCTTAATGGACCTCCCCATCTTGGACAGGCCTCTTGAAATGGATCCTCCTGGAGGAACCTACTTGGTTGGATGCCCTCTAGATGGACCCCACCAGGATGGATCCCCTTTAGATGGATGTCCTGACATAGTCATGCTTAGATGGACCCCTTGGATGGATCCTGTTAGATGGACCTTCTGAGATGGACTCCCTTTTGGAAGTACCCCCTTTGATGGACCCTCCTTGAATGGACCTCCTTAGATGACTCAGTTGAATGAACCTTCTTTTGATGGACCCTCTTGGATAGATCTCCTTGAATAGATGCCCTTGGATGGACCCTCCTTAGATAGACTCCCCATGGATGACCAACTTGGATGGACCCTCCTTGGATGGACTCATGGATGATGTTCTTGGATGGATGCTCCTGGGACAGACTCCCCATGGATGACCAACCCCATTAGATGGACCCCGTTAGATGGCCCCCCGTTGCATGGACCCTCAGATGACCATAGCGGTGGAGGTCCCACCACTGACCCTCCACGTGGAGATGGGCGGTGGCAGCGGCGGTGCCCAGCTGACTCTGCGCCGTACACACGTAAGTGCCGGTGTCGGCAGGTGTCACCACGTGGAGACGCAACGTGTGCTCCTGGTCCACCTCATGCCTGTGGGTCACCAGTTCTCCATCAGCTCCATCCCCATCCCACCATGATGATGATGGACCACCTTCCACCTTCCCACCACCTACCTCCCCCAGGGCAGGTCCCCACTCTCCTTGTGCCACTGCACCTGTGGCGTTGGGTCACCTTGGACACCACAGCTCAACTCCACCGTGCCACCGGCCACCACCACCACATCACTCGGGTGCCGCACGATGGTTGGCTTCTCTAGAAGTGGATATTGAGAAGGTGGCACGAGAACCCTCTGAGATACGTCCACCACCCATGGGAGACCTTTAGCTTACCCAAGATGGTGACGTGTGCACCACGACTCTCCCTCTCGCCCGCCTCGTTGGTGGCCACGCAGACGTAGAGCCCGGAATCATTCCGTAGTGCTGGTGTCACCCGTAACTTCCCGCTGGTGACCAAGTACCGGTCACCTCCTAAATCCAAGGTGACTCCATCTTTCTTCCAGGTCACCTGAGGTTCAGGGTGTCCAGATGGTGGGAC